AATGACAGCAGTAGTTAAAACGTAGATCCAATGTGTGCATGTTATGTGAATGACAGCAGTAGTTAAAACGTAGATCCAATGTGTGCATGTTATGTGAATGACAGCAGTAGTTAAAAAGTAGATCCAATGTGTGCATGTTATTTCAATGACAGCAGTAGTTAAAACGTAGATCCAATGTGTGCATGTTATGTCAATGACAGCAGTAGTTAAAACGTAGATCCAATGTGTGCATGTTATATCAAATGACAGCAGTAGTTAAAACGTAGATCCAATGTGTGCATGTTATATCAATGACAGCAGTACTCAAAACGTAGATCCAATGTGTGCATGTTATTTCAATGACAGCAGTAGTTAAAACGTAGATCCAATGTGTGCATGTTATTTCAATGACAGCAGTAGTTAAAACGTAGATCCAATGTGTGCATGTTATTTCAATGACAGCAGTAGTTAAAACGTAGATCCAATGTGTGCATGTTATTTCAATGACAGCAGTAGTTAAAACGTAGATCCAATGTGTGCATGTTATTTCAATGACAGCAGTAGTTAAAACGTAGATCCAATGTGTGCATGTTATTTCAATGACAGCAGTAGTTAAAACGTAGATCCAATGTGTGCATGTTATTTCAATGACAGCAGTAGTTAAAACGTAGATCCAATGTGTGCATGTTATTTCAATGACAGCAGTAGTTAAAACGTAGATCCAATGTGTGCATGTTATTTCAATGACAGCAGTAGTTAAAACGTAGATCCAATGTGTGCATGTTATTTCAATGACAGCAGTAGTTAAAACGTAGATCCAATGTGTGCATGTTATTTCAATGACAGCAGTAGTTAAAACGTAGATCCAATGTGTGCATGTTATTTCAATGACAGCAGTAGTTAAAACGTAGATCCAATGTGTGCATGTTATGTCAATGACAGCAGTAGTTAAAACGTAGATCCAATGTGTGCATGTTATATCAAATGACAGCAGTAGTTAAAACGTAGATCCAATGTGTGCATGTTATATCAAATGACAGCAGTAGTTAAAACGTAGATCCAATGTGTGCATGTTATGTCAATGACATCAGTATTTTAAACGTATAAAACCTAACCCTATATTGAACTAACCCCATATTAAACCTAACCCTAAACATTATTTATTACGTTGAAGTTCTGATAATACTCCGTTGAATCCTATTTAAACGATTTTTAAAAATATTTATAAGGGGATATGCACGTGAGAAAAGTTCACTTAGCGATATGTGTATGTATGGAGCCCAACTTTAGGATACCCTCATTTGTATGGTAGTTGCAGGATGTCAGTGTATCGCCTTTATTCTGGCACAGTCTTAAATCCACCATGTTCAGATTAATTGTTTCATTTTATAAAAATCCTATATTTTTACTGTTTTGCTGTTGTTGTTTTTTTGTTTTTTTGTTGTATTCCTTACGAGGGATTTTTTCCGGCACGTTTGTTGTTTTGTTTCGTTTCCTTTTCATTTCTTCCCCTACTTTGTGTTTTACATTACATATTACGTTAAACCGATCATAGTTCTCCTGTTCTTTTGTTGTTTCAATACTGCAAACCGAGACTTAATTAATATATACATATTTTTAAGACACAAAAATCAAATTGAATCATAAACCCTTTTTTTCCCCCCTCGGCTCACGGCAAATAGAACCCTTGAAGGCTCAGAAACCTGGGGTTGCGAAACATTGCAATAGGTATGTTAGGAGTGATCAATTCACATAGTGACGCTGTTATCAGAGTACAGATAGGCTGAAAGGCCCAACAAATGTTTGTATATGCTTGTACGGCCCGTCATAGGATAGCAACGCTTCTAAGATTTTGTCCAAGTGACAAATGTATGTCATACTGTTTTTTTGTTTTTTTTTTGTTTTTTGTTTTTCAAAATTAGTTTTGAAAAGGAAACCTATAATTTCAGTGTATCCTTGATAATGTGAGATCCGGGTTGGATAAGCGGTCCTTATCGGTTGATAACTCGTGGTACTGGGGACAGGCTCGAAAATCTAACAGTAGCGGTTCTGAAGTAATGTAAAGAGGTATCCTCGTCGAATCGACGGATGAACCTCATCTAAGATCTTTGGTATCTGGTTGTAAATAAAATCTAAATTGCCTCAAAAATCTTCTTGCATACTGCACAATGGTGGACTGTATTTGCCAAGCGTGTATACTGCACAATGGTGGACTGGACTTGCTAAGCGTGTATAGTTCACAATGGTGGACCGGACTTGCTAAGCGTGTATACTGCACAATNAATGTATGTAACTATTTTAATGTCATGATTAAGTTTGCTAATATTTTTATGTGAAGCGCGATGAGCCCAGCCCTAGCACCGCGCTATATAAGACCCCTGCAATAACAATAATATGTAAGCAAAAATGTATTCACAGAGCTTTTGTATAACTTTATGCATGCACTAGCTACAGCCCATACAACTATGGTGGGTGTGACGCGGGAACTTCCGATCTATTAAAGTTACTAGACATCGCATGCAATCAAGTAGTGCACTTTATAAAAAATCCCAATAAGTTCTCACCCCCCCCCCCTTTTTTTTTCCTTAATTCGTTCGCAGCCCCCCACTGGTATACACTCCGAACCATATTCATATTCTATTGCCCCACTCCCTTTCATACCGAAGATGCATAACGCCATACTTAAATTTAGACTTTTCCCTTAAAACCTTGAAGATCACTAGATCAGTGGTTCTCAACCTTTCTAATGCCGCGACCCTTTAATACAGTTTCTCGTGTTGTAGTGAATCCCAACCACAAAATTATTTTCGTTGATACTTTATAACTGTAGAGTTATGTATTTCCAGATGGTCCTAGGCGACCCCTGTGAAAGGGTCATGCAACCCACAAAGGGGTCGCGACCTTCAGATTGAGAACCGCTGCACTAGATGAACTAAATGCATTAATTTGTAGTATTTTTTAAGAATCTAATTTAGAGCAGTTTTCGGGAATTTTATTTCGTGAAATTAGCGTCATCTGGTAGCGTTAGTGACAATGGTACGGAGAGAATTATGCTTTTAATTGTTGGGAGTCCGTGCCCAGGAATAAAGACACACACACATTCTTAAAATATGTTCCTTAAATCATGGTATACGCTAATAAGTTATGATTTGTTTAAAGTTATGAATCTGGTTTTAGGCCAACAAATTTCATGAAGCCCAAACGCAGAAGAATTAATAGTAGAGCTCGTTATAATTATAATAAAGTATCACCTAAGGGCCCTCATCTGAAATAATTTGATACACTTACATTTATTCTTCTATATGATTCCAGCTTTCATAAACAATGAGTCTCTTTTGGCGTGGGAACTTGATTTTTCAAATATTTCCATTGAGGAATTCTCAAATAACAACAACAATTTTTTTTTAAAAGTACTTTAGTAGTGTCTCAATTACATACCGCTTGTCACAAATTCACGAAACTTTTCCAAATATCCAAATTGATGCGACCTATTCAGTTGTTCAATGGAATTTTCCTTACATTACATATGTAAGTCTTGCTGTACTAAGAATATATGTAATTAATACCTGTTATGCTATGTAGCTGTAGACCTAATGGTTTTTCTGCTTGTTATTATTTAACGAGTCTTAGTTCATTGACTAAATACTTGGGCAGCACGATCGACGTAAATGGCGGCTCCGACGCGGATGTAAAGGCTGGAATTGGGGAAAGGCTAGATCAGCATTTAATTTGTGCTGTTGAAGGAAATATGGCAATCGAAGGAGCCGAAGCTGCAAACCAAAGTCAGATCTTTAACGCAAATGTCAAAACAGTCCTACGATATGGAGCAGAAACTTGGAAAACAACAGTGAGCATTACGCAGAAAGTACAGACCTTCATAAACACATGCATTAGAAAGATCCTTAGCATCAAATGGCCAAAGACCATAACCAACAAAGATCTACTATAAAGGACTTACCAGGTGCCCTTTGATGAAGACATCATAAGGAAAAGCTGGAGGTGGATAGGGCATACTCTCCGAAAACCATGATAAAACATCACCAAACAACCACTAGCATTGAATCCACAGGAAAAAAATAAAGAGAAAGGTCAAAGAATATACGGAGACGCGAGCTAGAGGCAGACACGAAAATGTGGGATACACATGGAAGCAACTGGAAAGGAAAGCACAGGACCGTGATGAATGGAAAATTCTTGTGGACGGCCTATGCCCCAGAGGGCATAAGAAGAAGATTTGATAGATGATGTAGCCCACTTTCTTGTCCCGGACTTACAATTTTTCGTTTTTCCAAATAATCCGCCTTGTTTTTAATTATGTGTGTATAAGCGTAGGTACATTAAATAATGTCGAATGTCAAAATGCAGGGGCCCCTAAAGAGGCCAAGCCCCCGGGGCCCCCAAATCCCTAGCTACGCCACTGTACCGGGGCCAAAATATGCGAAGAAGACGAGAAAAAAATAACGCTCAACTTTGAATGCAGGAGGCTCCACTGTTAAGTGGAAGGGGAGCTCCAACAGTCACGCGGCGGTTCTATGAGGACGGAGTATTAGAGTAAGTGTATTTATCAGATGTGGAAACAAATCTAACATTTAATGTTATTTTAATTTTATTTGAGTATATTGAAATTGTTGTTTGAAAATTATATGTTAAGGACCATTTAGTCCATTTGAATGAAAATTGATTGGTCTAATTAAAGTATAACTGAAAAGTTTAAAAACATTCTCCAAGAATTAATTAAATTAATTGATTTGTATTTTATTTATACTTATACAACTATTGGAGGAAACATTTATTACAATTAACTCCATCGATTTTAACCAAATAATTAAAAATTTCCCTAAGATTGATCAGATATTTAATGTATTAAAATGAATTTTGACCGGTATTTAGTATTCCGGAGCCAATATTGTGACATTCATCATACTATCACGCTTTATTGCAAATGTACAAAATTTCTGTATCTCGGAACGATTTATTTTTAGATATTTCAATAGACCGTCGTTAGATAGCTAAACCTGTCTATGCAATCCATGTGAAACTTGTGTAAACGTAGAGGTCTTGCAGCCAGGTAATGAATCTTGATAGTTGATATTTAACTTTTAAAAATGCATAAATTTGAACCAAATAATATCTTCTTATTCACTTTATTCGATGCTACTAATATTGGGTATACTTTAAATTAATATGAAAGGCTAGATCAGCATTTGGGCATATTGAGTTTAATAATTAGTTCCTAATAAATATTATGCCACATTAATTAATTACACTTAAGTAAGACTTAATAAATTAATAATTATTTTATTACTTTTTTTAAACTTGACATCTGTCTTACTTACTAAAATTTTATTAGTATTAGGCTACTTACTTGGGGTTGGGCGCACCAGAAGCACCCTTAATTAAGTATAAATAATAAGAGATGGGCTGATGAGGATCACGAAGTGCACTAAGTCACTAAGTCTAAGTTATAAAATGTAGGCTTAATAATAAGAATAAGATTAAGTAGTTTAAGTAGCGTAATAATATTTCTAATATTAAATAATTAAATATGAGACCATAGTGCTAGAGCACAATGCTTCCTTCCTCACCACACTCAGGCAGAAATTTTAGTGGCTTCGTCAAAAAGAAAAGATTGTAAAACAAACTAGATCTTAGTACTTAGACTTAGATAGTAGTTTTTGAGCTGTGAATTTTTTTAATGAGAGTGTCTAGTCTAGTCTAGTATTAGTATGGATTGCACCACCTCATTTTATGACTATAATATATTAATTTAACATAGCTATTAGAATTATTTCTTTAAACTTATTTAAGCCTTTTTTTTTTAAACTTTAAAATATATAAATTTTGACCTTTTACATCCATGCACATATGACTTAACTACGACTACAGATCAACAAAAAAGGGCAAAGTGCAGATTTGAGTATAGCAACTTCATTGTGTCTTTAAGAAGATATCTGGGAAGTCCCCCCCTTGCCTTCCCTCGTGTAATTTCAGTTATGGGATTGTTTACATACTGCGCTCCATAATTATAAACATTCACGCATATTAAATATTAGGCAGTGTCTACACGTCTGGCGACCAGACAAATAGTGCGAGAAAATCTTCCGGCGGGCATATCACGTGATCGCCGGACGACTAGTAGGTGTTATTATTCCGGTACCTGTGTCATGTGACAAGAAGTTGCTGGCAATAGTTGCCTTGTCATTTTTATAGTATATAATATTCCAAAATTGTGTACATATATTAGTACAGCGATCCCTAGATAATAAATAAACACTGAATATGTTAATATTTTCAATGCTCTGCGATATATAAAGTGTATCATAAGCGTTTGACTTTGAATTAAAACTATTTTTATAATATTTGGTTAGTAGTAGTGGGCCTAAATAATATAAACTCCGACTCTTAAAAAAAAAAAGCTCCACCTTGCAGCCTAAATTTAAAATATAAACCAAAGTAAGACCAATACTTGCCAGTTGACTTTCAATAGTTATTTATCACCCTTACTATGATTTTTTTTTATCATTTCTCTCTCGCTCTCAGTATTTTTTCCTTCCAGTATGCATTGCTTGCTCTCTCTCTCCCCCCCCCCCCATCCCTTATTTGTTGAAATGAATTAAACTCTCGCCCACATGCATCTCCGACACCATTTTTCTGATAGATTTAAAATATAAACAAAAGTAAGACCAATACTTGCCAGTTGACTTTCAATAGTTATTTATCCCCCTTACTATGATTTTTTTTTATCATTTCTCTCTCGCTCTCAGTATTTTTTCCTTCCAGTATGCATTGCTTGCTCTCTCTCCCCCCCCCCCCCATCCCTTATTTGTTGAAATGAATTAAACTCTCGCCCACATGCATCTCCGACACCATTTTTCTGATAGACTATTAGTGGTCATGTGACAGGGCTGACGGACAAATATTTTGCGCAACTTTGTTACGGTGGTCATGTGACTAGGTCGCCGGACGATTATCTTGAAAACTTATTTGTCCGGTCGCTGGACATTTAGACACTTTGTAAATATTACAAATTACTTTTTTTGTTAAGTTGTAATCTGATAATGGCCTGTTGTCGCGGAAACACTATGACACAGGAAGTGTCGAATTTATTATGCATTCTCATTGACACAATAATAAATAGAGCCCTCGGAAACACTAATTATTCTTAAGGCTCAACTCATCCCTACCAGTTAATATGTATAAAATATGCTACTGAATATAGCATTATACTGAAAGTTAAGGCTTTCTTTTTTAGATTTCATAATTATTAGGTTACCCTAATATTATTATTTTTGAAAAGGCCTAAGTAAAGCTCATCATAATTAGTATGAAGGAATAAATAGGAAAGCCTAATTTTTAATAAATAGGCCTACTATAGCAGACCTTAAAAAAGTTAACAAAAGCTATTTTGTTTTCTATGTGACATTGTCCTCATGTCACCCATCCCAATACATGTTGTCCATCTTCAAAAGGTGTCCAAGGCACCATATAATTTAATTTCAGCAAATTTTTCATCAATGATAGAGCTAAATATTTAGTTATTTTTACTGTAAAAATATGCTGTCTCTTGGTCAACTCTTGTGTGCATTATCATACTTTAATAGAAATAATATAAAGTTACCTTTATTCTTCCTGTGTATAATAAAGAACTTTTAAGAAAGATTCCCACTAGCATAGGTTTCTACACTCCACTCTAGCTTTGGGGTTGGTTTACTATAAATATAGGCAGGCATTCCATTCATCTTCTCTGAACTTTTTTTTTTTTACAGCATCACAATGTCCGCCTTAGCTGCTATGAGCCCACCTTGCAGCTTTGATCAGCAAGGTAAAGCAGAAGCATCAAAAGGTGTTTCAAGAAGACCTCGTTTTGTTATCAAGCCAAACATTAGGCCAGGTAAGGCACCCAGTGCAGCTCCCAAGCTTAAACCAGCAACACCGACACCCAGTGCTGCCACTGCAGGAGCACAGTCAAATGTTGCACTCGCTAAAGATGATCTACCCCAGCTATCACTGGATGCAAGTGCTAATGATCATGACAGTGGTAAAGAAGTATTGGAAAAGAAAGCACAAGAAGCAGATATTGTGCCTGGTGGAGTAGTTACAGGGCAGGAGCTTAGAATGCCACCGTCCACCACTGATGCAGCCAATGGGTAAGACTTATCAATTTTTACTATTGTTTCTAGAAACAGTTTTTATCACAATAAGAGATATGAAAATCTGTTAAGTTAGTGGGCCATTGCTTTTAAGCAAAATAATTTTGTGTTTTGTTTTGTCATCATTCACTTCATGTTTTTTCCTTTTACAACTTGATTTCAATATCCCTAATATTATTCCTTTTCACTGTGTCTCCTTAAAGCCCCAAGATTATACATGTTGATGACCGTTTGCAGAAAGAAGATTGTGTCCCAGATTTACCAGATAAAGATGACAGGGTTTGTCTAGCGGATAAAGATGATGGAGATAATCCAATGGAAGGCAGGAATACAGATTCCAGTAAAATTATTCCCAGTTCTGTCAAGACAAAGGTCCAGCTAATGAAAAGTGGAAAGCTCCCAGGGACTTCAAGCAGTGTGGGCTTTAAAGAGCCAGTGGAGGAAGTCTGTGGAAAATCAGATGTCCCTGATTTCCCTGATGCTGTCACAGAAACAGATACCTCATGCATGTCAGAAGCTATGTCTCTGGAACCAGATGAAGAGAGAACAGCTGATGTTGATATTGACTTAAAGAAAGCTAAACGTCGAAGGGTATGTCATTTTATAACTTGAACATACTTTGAGCTCTGTGCCCCTGATTAATTTTTATTTAATTTCCATCTATTTATAGTCACGCAGAAACAAAAATCAATGGACACTTTAGAAATGGAATTTCTTTTTATTATCTATAGGATATTAATTATGTCCTCTGTTTAACTCCTTCAATATTTTACATGTCGCCAGATAAAAAAGCCCAGGGCTGAACCTTTGCCCAGCAGAGAGAAATCACCAGATCGTCAAAAGATGAAAATGAGTGACCTCTTGTCTTGGAACCCCCATCAGAACTTCCTGCCGTTAGTAGAACATAATAAACTTTGTAAAATAAAATCTGGGTTTTTTTTTTTTTCTTTTTCTTTCTTTTATTAACATTTTATTGCTTTTCTAAAATTTGATTTTATTTTTACTTTTTAAATTTTTCATTCATTTTTTTGAAAATGAGTGACCTCTTGTCTTGGAACCCCCATCAAAACTTCCTGCCGTTAGTAGAACATAATAAACTTTGTAAAATAAAATCTGGGTTTTTTTTTTTTTCTCTCTCTTTCTTTTATTAACATTTTATTGCATTACTAAAACTTGATTTTATTTCTACTTTTTAAATTTTTCATTCATCTTTTGAATGTTACGTTCATTTAAATATTTAATTTTTTCAAAGTTTTTAAAAAGGGCTTTATATATTTACTTTTATGAAGTTTTTTTAAATGAGTGTAAATATTTACGTTTCCAAAATTTAAAATTGAATAACTTTCAATTAGTAAATTCTTGTTACAGAAAAAAGATAAAGAAAAAACCAAGCACTGCTGATGAGAGTCAATCTGCTGCTCCTACACCAAAGATTGATGAAGATAAAGAGTCTAGTAATCAGAGTGCTTCTTTGCCAGCACCTCAGATTATGATTGGGCCTGATGGGAATGTTGTTCTTAACACAGAGAGGTAGGGATGTTTTAGTAGTTGCAACATCAATCAGCCATCTTGCAAATTTAATTACCTTTATTGCCTGTTTTGTTCAGATACTCCTATAATCCACGTATCACAGCAGCTGAGAGACAAAAAGCTTTCACACTGCTACACGATTTTGTAAACATGTTGAATTGATTTTATGTCCTTGCAAAGATGTCATCTTTTTTGTACAAGTTTTGTGCCGAGTCTGGTAGATAAAAGTTCTTTGGTCTTAGAATTTTAATATTTCTTGATGTGGAATACTCCCATTCCTTGTTTAGTAAATCTGATAATTTAATCACACCGCATTATAAGAAATTTTTGTTGACCAGATATTATGACTCAAAAGGATGCATTGTCTTTTATCAAGAGGAAAAAAATAATGTTTTGATATGTGTGGTTTTTATTTTTCAATGCTATTAAAAATAACTTTCATTTCACCACTGAAGATCTATTAGAGTAATTTATTTTGTTATATTCTTACTTTAGCTTGTTGATTGACACAGCTCAAGAGGAAAGTAAGCTCAAAGAGGTCATTGAGGAAGATGATGACGACAGATACCTAAACACAAACTCCTACAGGAAACATAAGAAAACCAAGTTTTGGACAGAGGATGGTAATGCTGTTTTATTGTTAGACAATTTGTTCAGAACACAATTTAATGATAAAATCTTGGCCTGGTCATTGACTAGAACATACAATTGGTTCACTTATGAACATGTGACATTGAACTTTGCTAGCGCTAGCCTCGGAAGCCTTTTCAGCTTAATAGTAAATTATTTTGTTATTTAAAAATCACAAGAATGTCTTAAATTTCCATATTTAAATCCTAGGGGAAATCCAGTTTTTTTTACCAAGGCAGTGTAATGTTTGCAATTTATGCCAAGAAGTTAAGGGGTCTTTTTCATGCCCAGGTTCTAATGTTTGGTACATAACTTAACCGTATAACTGTCATAACAGCCGATCAGCGGCTGTTAAACCCTCTTCTGTGGGGTAACAGCCGATATAATCGGTACAGCTAATATAATCGGCTAGCAAAATTGATATAAAAAATGTGAATGATTTAATGTATATTGATTAAGGGGAAATCTTTCTATATTAAACAGTTAACTTCCTATTTCCATTAGTGTCCTTTTATCAGGGATTTTTTTGTGTGATTTATCTGTTGTGAAATTTGCCCCCAAAAATTTGACTGTCATAATTTCTGATGCTGAAGAGGTTCCTTGCAAAATCAACACATAATTTCTTTATTGGTATTATTATAAATGGATTGAAATAAAGCAATTATTTTAAATGGATTGAAATAAGGCAATGATTTCAGACATATTCCACGTGCTACCAATGACAGTATTAGCTCTAGTAGTGATGGTGACATAAGAGTCAGATTTTTACAATTTTAGGGCTAAGCTTAGTCATATTGGTACAGACACATTGGTTAGGAAAAGGGTGGTAATCAAACAACATAGGCAAAGGTTAGATCCCAAAGACCTACCCTAAAGAGGTTCAAATACATTTATGTTTGTGCATGTTCTGGAGTATTAAATGATAAAAAATGAATTTAATAACTTCATTTCAAAAGGAGAACTCATTGCATGCCTTAACCTTGTATTTTGTATGACAGAAATTTGAAGGTAGTGAATGTAAAAAATTCACCAATATTAACACTTTTAATATAAGCACATAAGCACCTATAACTTAATATTTTCTGAAAGAATTTTGCTTCTAGTGTTTCAACAACTTGATTTTATGATAGTTTGAACAATTTATGGAGTATTAAAGTGGGTTGAATTCAGAAATTAAGTTGTAAAATTTTACTTACTCTGTAAAGGTCACGGTCGAAATAAAACATTATATAAAAACCTAAATTCTTTTCATACCATAAGATACCTTGTCCAATGTACTTTCAGATAATGTATACCCGTAAGAGTCACTGCATTCATTTAGCATGGGATTTTGTCATTTTTGAAAATGCTAAAAATGGCTTGACGCTACAGAAAAGGGCACTTGACAGTTACTGGGTTAATCTGTGCACAGGGGGCTAATCTTTGACAGATGATACCTTAATCTCATATACTCTTCAGTTAAACTATCTCAAATTCAATGTAAGCGTAGCGACTTGCCAACTGCCACCTTTTGTTTCCCACTAATTGTAGAAACAGAAAGGTTCTATCTTGGATTGAGCATGTGTGGGACCGACTTCTCACTCCTGACTAACCTCATGAAAGGGCGATCAAGACGAGAGCTGAAGGTCAGTGGTCATAAATGTGTCGCAAAAATGGGCACTTGTTAAATATGTTAATAATCCCAGTGGTATTATGTGTATAGTTTATGACGTATTTCAGTACCAAGTGCCAACCATCTTTTATTGTTTTAATTGGTGCCATAATATTGAGGCAAGTGGGTTCGGGTTGGGATTACTTGATGTCTGGTTGATGGCGGTGGTGAGCTTGGGCGAAGCTGTTATTAGTAGAGTTTGGTAATCTAAATATATATTATTTACTTTTATTTACAGTTATTTCTTGTTGAAGACAAATTACATATATAGTTTTAATTATAGATAGTGTATCTGAAGATTTAACTGAGTAGTTGTGTCATCTTGTTCAATAGCATAGATAAAGTTATTGCAAATAGCTTTGTGTTTTGACAAAATGTACCATGTGATTGGGGGGGATGTGATCTTTGTTTTTAATTTATTTTGCGCCTGCATCAAGTTTTTTAAACTGACTTTAACAAAGATAATGTATAATGTATGTAGATAATAATATCTATGGAGTCAATTCTCTTGCTAGGCAGCAACATGTGTTCTTTTTTGTCTTAAATTCAGTTATATTTCATACTATAATATCTCATACTATAAGATGTTAGTACTACAATATGTAGTTCTAAAATATGTTAGTACTACAATATGTTGTATTATAATATGACATACTATATAATGTTAATGCTACAAAATGTAGCACTTTAAATTGTTAGTACTACAATATGTTAGTACTTTACCATGTTAGGACTACAATATTTTAGTACTACAATATGTTTCTACTACAATATGTTAGATTTATGAGATTTTAATACCGGTACTACAATATGTTAGTACTATAATACGTCAATACTACAATATGTTAGCCCATCAATATGTTTGTACAATTATATTTCCTACTCATTTTTTTTCATATTTTACAGAATAAATTTCAGCGTGAGGAAAAAAGGAACAGACGTCTTGTGGACAAAGCATTAGGTATTGTAGATTGGTTCCTCATATAAGGCATTGGATATTGTAGATTGGTTGCTGAATACAAAACATAAGGCATTGTAGATTTATTCCAAAATACAAGATATTAGATATTGTGTTTTGTTTTTTAAGCAAAACCTATTGCCAACAAATGCAAACATGTCATTCAGTGTTTGACTGGGAACATACGCACCTGTTTAATAAGTTCATTATCAGCTGTAATTGCTACTTTCCAATGTTGTTGAACATAAGGAATGAAAGAAGAGCTTGAGCTATTTTTGATGCAGGGTTAAATTCTTGTCAATCAGAATCAAGATAATGATATTTATGATGGTGCAGTGTTCAGTTATTTTATGTCAGAATCGACATAATTATAAGGAAGTTTAACGCTGATCCAATTACTGTTGTGTGATTTGTTATTTGAGCATTCACTGAGTAACACACTCGTCTCCAGCTAATAGACAACCCTATGACCCAGAACCTATTGAGAAAATGGCTGCTGAAGAAGAAGAGAAAGCACAGAAGCAAGCCAAGAAGAAGATCAAGAACACTAACCCTGTGGACAAGAAGGAGAAAAAGCCCCCTAGAAAGAAGCCGGCCAAGAAAAGTAAGTCTCTACACTGAAAAATTAAGAGAGTAAGGTTTCCTTGGCTATAATTGACACCTGCTTCTTTTTTTCCTTCTGGATGTAGAACAATATGGAAAGACTTGAGACAGTTGATATGCTTTACTCAAATTATCTTCACTTAATGCAATTTTTTTGTTCAAGGGTGTATCTGTGTTATTGATAAGTGTCCTGTCAGTTAACTTGATGTCAATGGTTTTTTTTTAGGAAAGAAGGAAGAATCAGAGGATGAGGAAGACGACTGGGGTCCAGAATATGATGAGTAAGTTTGTCTTTATTTTTTAAAATTAATATTTTTGAAGTAAGCTAAAAGGTGTTAGATGAATGTAGCAGAAAGCTGGGTTAGTGGAGGGTGTCTTTGTACAACTGTCATGCAGCAGTTAGTTGAGTTAGTGGAGGGTGTTACTGTACAACTGTCGCCACAAATGCTGTGCTGCCATTGAGGGATTCACACGAGTAGGTTATTAAGTTGTTGTTTTTTACCTTTACTTTCCCCCATGCGCTTTTGTATTTATGAGATTTGATAGATTTCTTGAAATTATTTAAATATATCAAACTATGAAATTGTGTTAGCACATGATCTATTATATCTATTTCTGGGGTTTTTGTGGACTGGTCACAATTCGTTACAGTGTGTCAATGCCCCCTGCCCAAACCCCCTTGCTGACTCTTAACATAATTTAAGAACAACTGATTCAATGAATCTCACTCAAAACTTTGGGTTCTGCAAGCTTCAGAAGAAAGAAAAAATATGTCCTGCATTATACGTTTCATTCCTTGACTCCAAATCTAAAGTGTTGGTGACTAAGATTATGGTGCTCAACTGCAGTTGAATAGTGTGATAAATTTTTTTCAAGCTGCTTATTTGCCATCATAACTGAGTACACAAGCTTTGCCTAATGAATGTGCTTTAAATTTGGATGACTTTTATTTCTCAGGGAGAATGATGACAACATGGATGAAAATGATGAGACTTCTCGCATCCCAGTCATCAAACGCATAAAGAAGGGAGAACTGTTGGCTCCGGACCAGCGAAATAAAGCAGTCGGACCGGAGCAGAGATCGAGAAATTCTTTACCCCCCAAGCAAGTACAAGTTGGCCGTGAGCCTGAGGCCCCCAGAGTCAGGGGAACGCCAGGAAAGAACATCATGCAGTCCGTAGAACAAATTGTCAACAGTCAACGTGTTGCTCCAAACAACCAAGGAACCCATGGGGGGCCAAGCTTCCACACAAACACATTGAGTGCCATCCCTGGTTCGTCCCGGGTCCAGATAGAGATGGAAGGTGTGCAGAGCCCAGTCCAGGGTATCATCATACCTTCATCAATGGTGCCCCAAATAGCCCCTCAATTGGGCATCCCAGGGAACCCGGTGGGCATTCAGATCCTTCTGGTGCAAGAGGAGTCCTCATCAGGGAATTTGGTGCATGTCTATGTAATACCAGAAGCTGATAAGAACAATGCGTCTGGTTCATCGGCTCCTGGTGGACTTCCAGCTCTCAGCTCCCCTATTCCAAGCCCTCACCCGACCACACCTCTGCAAAGTCCACTTCCGTCGGCACAGTTCCCCCCGTACAACACCAGACATCCTGCGCCAATTTGTAGCCCTCAGCCCTACAACCCAATTCAGAGTCCACCATTACCAAGAAGCCGCCAGCCAAGTGGCTCCTTCCCGAACTTGATTTCTCCAAGATTCAGGCAACCACAGAGCCTACATTCCGCAGCACCCATTCCCACGACCCACGGCGTATCTACCTCAATGAGACATGGACTAATTCCTGCCTCAATTCCACAAGATCACGTTTCTTTGCCTGGGAGTGGTCAGTTTCCTTCAGAGCTTTCATCCCAGCCTTCAATTCATTATCCAAATATTGCAAGGGGCAGGAACGCACCCTGCCATTCAGGACTTCCCCCATCACAGTCTCACCTGACTGCACAAGTTCCACCGCAGCATCACTCAAATCTATCCACACATGCACCTTGTGGTGGCGGTGCAACTCTGCCAGCGCCAACTGCCGCTTATGACACAATGAGGACAGGGCCGTCCGCTGGCCAGCCATCATCATATTCCCCCCTGCTTGCCACACAGACTAATGCAGATTACACAACCTCTGTACTTAAGCCAGTCATTGAACAGAGGCTTGATGTGGCAGCCCAAGATTGTGACTATATGATGGGTTCTTCTGAGAGACCTGGGACTCAAATGGATCCATCGGTGCTGACAAATCTATAAAATAATATTGTTTCTATTTATAGGTCATTGAAAGGTTACAATTATGTTATTCTGATAATTTATATGTGTAAGTGAAAGTAATAAAACTGAAATTGCTAATCGCCCTGGAAATGTTTTTTTGTAGTTGTTGGCGAGTTTATTGAACAGTGGTCCTCATAAAAAGGACTTGGTGGACAGTGGTCCTGATAACAATGGGTTATTGGACAGTGGTCCTGATAACAATGGGTTATTGGACAGTGGTCCTCATAATAATGGGTTTATTGGACAGTTGTCTTTGAACTCTTATATATGATCATCATTATAACTGTTATAAAATTGTATTCCTCTTGGAACACTTGCACAAAGTGAACTGATACAGATCAAAATAGCTTTGCACATCTCAGCTCAAGAACCACTATGATTATAGTCCTGCGTAAGCAGCCATTTTTTCTTTATAAAATCTCAAGATAAACAAGACTCTGTGCCATAAATGCATTTAGTCATGAAACAAGCTGCTGAGATGACTGATAAAACTTGGTCAATAAACTGGCTTGATTTTTTTTTGTAGTGATGCTGATAAGTTTTTCATTGTTGGGCATTGACAGAAGACGTGAGCAAATTTTGGGCATTGACAGAAGATGTGACCAAATGTTGGACATAGACAGAAGATGTGACCAAATGTTGGACATAGACAGAGGATGTGACCAAATGTTGGGCATTGACAGAAGATGTGGCCAAATGTTGGGCATTGACAGAAGATGTGAGCAAATTTTGGACATTGACAGAAGATGTGACCAAATGTTGGGCATTGACAGAAGATGTGACCAAATGTTGGGCATTGACAGAAGATGTGAGCAAATTTTGGGCATTGACAGAAGATGTGACCAAATGTTGGGCATTGACAAAAGGCATAACCAAATGTTGGACATTGGCAAAAGACATTGTTGGATAGTGAAAGCAGACATGACCATAGATGTTACAATAGGTTTCTACCATGTCACTTTACTTAAAGACATTTGCATGCATTGTGATGAGACGCATATAAATATAATTATTTTTTTGTTTCATTTGCTCATTAATTGATTTATATATAGCTTCTACCTTTTGCAGATAAGAACATTTGATAAATAGACAAGTCTAAATTTTGGCATATCACTTTTTACTTTACAGAAGAGTTGTATACCTAAATATTTTCCCTTGTTTGGATGTGCTCAGTGGTGCTAGTCATTGTTCATTAGATCACAGCCCAGCGGGGAGCTATTCAGTCTTATAACACAATATATTTTATGAATAAAATCATGAAAGACTCCATTCAAGTACAAAGAAAAATGTCTGTTTCAGTGAGTAGTAGAGTCCATCTGTTTCATTGAGTAGCGTGAGTAGCAGTGTCAAACTTACAGTGACAAGCAGAGTTCAATGAGATGGATTCTATAACTGCCTTCTTACTTAGATTACTCTAAACTTCATTTGCTAATTACCCGGTCAACATTTTTTCTTTTTTAAAATTCACTTTTATTCCATCATGTCAAAAGCTTCCAACACATGTGTAAAACTGTTGGGACGCATCAGTGTGTCAATAGACACATCAGTGTGTCATTAGGCACATCAGTGTGTCATTAGGCACATCAGTGTGTCATTAGACACATCCGTCTGTCATTGGGCACATTAGTGTGTCATTAGGAACATCAGTTTGCCATCAGGCACATCAGTGTGTCATTAGACACCTCAGTGTGTCATTAGGTACATGGTTTAAAACTAGTGGTGTAGTTAAAGTTTGGTCAAATGTGAAAACTCCAACTTTTTAGGTTAATATTTTGTGTTATCGGTCTTCATCCTTTGTGTTATAATTTGAACTGTACTGAGATTCAACTTTCAAATAACTACAGGTTGACCCTAAGTTACAAACACTAAGCAAGTATAAACGGTAGTTCATAAAATTCATGTCACTCCACTTATCACACCCTAAGTGAGGGGGATACGAATTTACCACGGCAAATGTTATGTCTACTAGTTTCTAGATAACAATTGAGGGACTGCAAATTCAAGCTGTGTGACTGAAACATCTTATTGTCCTGTCGTTTGATTGAAGCCTTGACATACCTTGTTTTGCTTTTTCATCTATTAGTTTCTAGCAGCTTCTACAGATCCACATGACTATAATCTATTGAATGTTACTCCTCGTAAACTGCATTTCACTGCAATGCTGCCTTAATGACACAATGCTCTACTAACACTGGAATGATGTAACATTAAATGCACTTCTACATTTATGGAATACTACAGTTGTTCTACTAATTCTACAATAATGTACTGTTACAGCCGTTGCTGTAGCGATGGTTAGTGCTGCCCGATGCAGGCAAAGAATTTTTGCTGCCTCCCCCCTCCATAAAAAAACCTCAGCAGTTGGCACAATAGGCAGCCTCCCCCCCCCTTTTTCTGCACCACTGGTTACAGTGCACTACTACAATGATGTAATTTAACAGTATATACTACAGTAATGTAATATAATTATGTGCTACAACGATAACTAGTTAATAAATATTAATTCATTCCCCCCCCTTTTTCTGCACCACTGGTTACAGTGCACTACTACAATGATGTAATTTAACAGTATATACTACAGTAATGTAATATAATTATGTGCTACAACGATAACTAGTTAATAAATATTAATTCATGTTTTTCTGTCTTTTGCCTTTTTATTTTCACTTTATTTTAATTATTTCTTCTTTGTTATTGAGATTATTAAGTTTTTTATACAGTACCTTTGAATTCAACACCAAGAGAAGCGTTTGCATTTAAATGTTGACAACATGGACAAATAACTTGTAAAAGTTAATTATCTACTTGTCTATAAATGACAATGAATGTAATTATGAAGCCATTAATGCTGAAAATGTTCTATAAGCTCAAGAGTGGTCAACCATTGAGAATCTAGGGTTTCAATTCAATTCACTGCAGTAATAACGATGTTTAACCTGGAGATCATTGAGTATTGAGCAACCAAATGTTTGCCATAAATGACGCAAGGAATGGATAATAAGATATGAACACAGAATATGAGTCTTGAAGTGGAGTCTTGTCTACATGTGTCAAGTTAACCATCATGGTAAGTGGTATGGATTATTTTGTTCTCACTAACGTTTGAGCCATACAAGGTTTTTGATTGGTTGATTGTGCCATTAATTGGTTTGTTCTGGGATGCTTACATTTATCCAATACAAGGGTTATCCACTTTTAAAATCCTTTATATTAACTTTGCTTTGGTTTGTGGCTGACTGGGTGACAAAATCTTCGGATAGTTAACTGCCCCACTATCCGTCTGGACATCAAACTGAAACTTGGCACATAGACTCATTGCCGGTGACAATAAATTCTTTCAAATTTTCAGTCTTACTCTCCAACCCCAACCCTCAAAATCAGTTTTTTAAGAGGGAAATAAAATATAATTCCAGATAACTGCCTAAATGAGATTCTTTCTTGAAAAATATTGCAAGTGTGTTTGGTGCGTAATATTTTCTTTTGTTTTTCTACAATTTTTGGTGAGATAAATCTTCAGTGTAAAAGCAGGTGGGTCATTAGAATATTATTAATATCTTTCAGTGGCCTGAAAAAAATGTGCGGTTGCAAGCCTTGAGAGGGGCAGCACTAATTGAGACACTTGCATGTGTGTTTTGTCCAATTTTTAACCCCAGCCTCCTCTGCTCGATATTAAATTTTATAAAGGATAGTTCATAAATATGTTTTCAAGGGTTGTTAAATTATGTTTTAATGCTACAATTAATTTAAAGTTCTGCTTTAATTATTTTGTTTTCATTAATTAAACAAAAAAATCTTTTGTAAAAAATAAAATTTTAAAAATAATAATTAAGTTATTTATTTGGCAAAATCAGTAAATCAAATTTGTGGGTACAATTGTCTATCACAAATTTTTGGGACACAATTAAAACATCATTTCTTATTATTATTTTGTAGGTTAAATGCCAATTAGCTTGAGCAAACATTTTAATAACTTTTCAAATATAGAAATTATTTTTTATAAACACATAAAAAAAAGTTCATTTCTTTTTTTCTTCCTAGTAGGAAATGAAATACTACATGTTAGCAGATATCTGTGTCTGAAGTCAGCTCTTGGTATGTTCACCAGATATCTATATATGAAGTGGGTTTTTGGCTTGGTAATGGACAAGAATAGGTAATGTTAGGTCAGTTATGATTATACCAAATTTTTAACACTTTTTTTAATCTAAACAATATATTTAAATAGACTAAATTATATATATATATATATTTTTTTTCTGTTTTGTATAGACTTTTATTTACATCTTTAAATGTATTTTTTTTTTTTCGATTTCTATTTCCATCTTTAACTATGGATGACACAATTAACAACCACGGGCAGCTAAAATAATGGATGACCCATCAACAACCACTGTAAGATCCAATGGATGAACCTACAACAACCACTGTAAGATCCAATGGATGACCCATCAACAACCACTGTAACATCCAATGGATGACCCATCAACAACTACTGTAAGATCCAAGATGATCCATTAACAACCAATTAATAACTGGCTCCTAACCATCTGATATTAGCTTCAATTTTCAAATCTAAGTCTATACAGTTTTTGAGACACATGTATATTTTAAATTTTTTAATTTATTTTCTGTAAAAAAAAACATGATTGAAATGAAAATCTAAACTTTGATTCCTGCATGATAAAAAATTAAATATGTTAATATATATTTTTTATAAACCATTGGTTCTCTAACAATATCTTATGAAGGTTAAAGTTAGCGGTAATAACTTTTTATTATAAGACCTAATCCATTTGATAAAAATCAGTTTTTGGGGACAGTATGCATGTGAAGTTTTCAAATGCAGTTAGGAATATAAGAATTTCATTCCTGCTGCTAAGTCCAACTGTGAAAATTCACATCATGTTTAAAATCTGATAGCAATATAGTAAAATTTTCAAAATATTAATTACAAATCAATATTATGAAAAACACTATTTTAAACAATAAAATGGTGGAGTGTTTTTTATAGGTTACAAACGCAACCAATGGATTCATTATTATTCTTTTAAAAACCTTTTTGTACCTCCATTACAATACCAAAGAAGGTGTAGGTAAATTAAAATTTCCCATATGAAAGCAACATTTTTTTTAGATTTCTCACCTCTTCTTAATTAACACGTTGAAACACACTA